GAAAACTGTTTTGAGCCACCTTAAATCTCGCCATAATTCGAATTTCGACTCGGTTATTTCGAATTCAGAGCCATCACCTCTGAATTATCTCTTGGTTTCGTTTCTTTTCTTTTTTCGTTTGTTTGTTTGTTTTTTTTTTTGCTGTCGATTATTTGGAACTCGGTTATTTGGAACTTCTTGCTATTTCTGAACAATTTTTTTGTTTCTCTTGGCCTAACATCAAGCCCGTATAATTCGAACTCCGCTGACAGGGATGAAAAATTAACATCATGACGATTTCAGACCACTATATCAGAATACAGCTGTAATTGATAAGGGGGTGAACACTAATGGGTTTCTGGTCACCAATTTTTAAACAATAAAGCAGGCCTTTAATTAAAAGCCGCTAAGAACCATTTCAACAAAGCGACTATCTAATGAAGTGGCGCTAAACTATATATGAAATTTAAGATATTGACAACCAATACTACGGTTTTTTGGTAATTTAAAGTCATTTTCGCGGGCAAAAAGTACAGTTTAGTAAAATTGGTTTGTAGTCGCTTGCTGGAAAGGGCGAAGTTTGTGGTTCTCTTCCATTACTTTAAGAAAGAAAATTTGATGATCAAACAATATAACCGAGGTGGATTCACGATTTACTGAAGAGGTTGCCAACTTGCAGGGAAGAGGGTTTGAGTTACCAGCCGCCAAGTAAGGAGTAATTCATGATCAACATTTCCGTATATTCTTACTCCTATTTGGGCTTTTTTTTGAAGTTACCAGGCATACCTTCTTAAAATCGTGCAAAATATTGAAGTGATCCACGTTTCCATGGGCAGGAACTTTAAACAGTTCTGTTTGCTTCTCTGTGTCCACCTCGATCGTCTCGTTGTATTGTTCTCCAGACTCCCTCATTTGAACGTTATAATCCACCACCTAAGATATGCAGTGAATAACATCACATGATTTAGCAGTTCATAGTTTCATTATAAAGGAAGAGGCTGAAAGACGCTGGACTGCTTGAAAAACCAACCAAGACAGAAGTGTCAAGAAAAAACAACAAATAACCTTCTGTTCTCGCATGTCATTTCAGTGCATGCATGGTTAGCCTGATTTGCAGGCGTAAACGAGGAAGGGGTGGGGAGGGAAAAAACGCCTTCTCCTTCTATCCCCGCGTTCGTTCTCCCTTCCCCTCTCCCCCCGTTTTATGACTGCTACATAGTACAATGGACCTTTTTACCAATACGGCGGCCATTTGAATTCCATTGTTTCAAATAGCTATTATGGGGTGCTCAGGAGGGAAGTAATAATTTGCTCCCCGAGCATCCCATAATAGCTACTTGAAACAATGGAATTCAAAATGGTCGCCGTATCGGTAGTAAGGTCTATTCATGTGCTCAGGAGATCTAGCTAACGGGTATTAAACCAGTGAACATTCAAACTCAGCCCAGTCCTTAGAAAGAGAGAATGAATTCGGAAAAAAACTACAAGCAGATAAGAATTTAAGAACTGCCAAAAAAACACCACTCACTAAAACTAATCATGAGAGAACCACAATTGAATAAAGTGACGGGTTTTTTTGAAGACCTTTCAGAGTAAATTACAGGTGTAAGACGTGAAACACGAATGACTTCTCTACACGCGCTTACCGTTTTAGAGGCAGAATCTGCAGTGCTGTTCCCGCATTCGGTGCAGACAGGATTGGCAGAGGCCCAGTTCACTGAGGCAAGAAACAGGACAAACATGAATGCCACCCGGCTACTGACAAGGACAGCTTGCTGGAAAAAAAACAAAGCTAATTCAAATAAAAATAAAAACTAAAAAATAATAATTACTTGTAATCTTTCTAGTTGAAACGAATCATTTACGAAATTTGCAATGGCTACTCTTAATGGAATATCCTTGCAGTAAACCTCAATCATGCACGACAAATCTGATTGGAAATATAACTTTAACTACCGTGATCACCTTTAACTTTTACAAAGTGGTGTGAGGGGAGAACTGGCCGATATTCGTAACCATGAAAAAGCCAACAGTTAGTTAAGTCCAATAACCATGGTAACCACCTGTCTATCTGTATTATCGTGTAACACCTTGTGATGAGAACTACCTGAAGTTGTAAGTAGTGAATATTTACGAGCAGAATAACTGACTGCCTATGATGGAATAGCCTAGAACAACAATGAGCTCATTGGCAGCCAATAGGGGTTAAGAATTCTAAACGAAACATTAGATCATTTATTTGGAGCTTAGCATAGATACATGAGTTTTCTAAATTGTTCTTCGGTTACGCCCCCGATGGTGGGACGCCGGATACCACTATCCCGCATTGGTTACATCCTGGCTACGTTCTGAGTATATTACTGGATTAAACGTTACTGTTGGAGCCAAGTAACTGCGTATTCTCTATCGTCCCGTTGGATTGTTTTGCTGTAATAGATCCCGAAACCTCTAGGAGTCTGACAAACTCCGTCGCTGCAAGCGTGTTTCCCTCTGGTTTGCTGTTAACAGGGATAACAACCTTAACTTGTTATCACAGTGGCACGGTTAATTGCGGTCTATCAATGTTTTCGGAAGGAACAAATAGGAAAATTGTCGACTACTTGTTGAATTAAGAAAGATTGAGATTCAGTTAGCTATAAGCTTCTGTCACTTCATTAACAGAAATAAATCCTAGAAAAGCGCTATTGCCATAAAGGTAAATAAAATACTTCATGTTAAATCTCTTGAGTTGATTTGAGGCAGACCTACACCGATCTCTGGTTTAATACTTACGTCCAACATGGTTCAATTACTTCTAATCTTGAATTTTGGTTTTGGTTTCTTCTCCTTCTAGTTACTCTCTCTTCTTCTTTGTGTTGTTGCTCTCCTATATACGTGTGCTGGGTTTCGCCTTTTTATATGCTATGCACAGTTCTATGCATATACAATATAGTGTCTATACGAAAGTGGAATTTGATGTTTCAGCACTTCAGCAAAGACGGAAACCCCCTTAGTATTGTCTACTGCTTAGCCCAGTGCACTAGGCTGAGACTAAAAATAGAACTAAGTCACTTGATATTTTTAAAGCTTGTACCGTAGTTCTCTGAATAATAGGCAGGGGCGATTATTTTTTTTTCGCACCAAAAATGCTATGCAATATAATGACTATATATATGCAATATAGTGACTATACGTGAGAGAAATGGTGTTTAGAGTGGGTTTTTCGTGAAATAGATAGTAGAATTGTACACCCCACAACTTCGTATTAGTCCCTACTATACCTCTATAGTTAGTAATTCTTTTGTTTTCTAGACGGCTTTTGTTTTGTATAGAGCGGTTTTCAATTGAGTTTCGTAAAACCAAAACCAAACCAATTACTTACCAATTAGACTACTCAGCCAATCTCAAACCGCAGTAAAACCAAAACCAAAACCAAAGTAATCTAATTACTTTCGACACTCAAATGAAAACCGCTCTAACACGCACTAATACTAATTAGCAGACAATATTACACACTAGCAAGCAGTTTCTGTTTCACGGGTTAAGTAAAAACAAAGACGGAAACCCTCAGTATTGTCTACTGCTTAGCCCAGTGCGTTAGACTGAGACTAAAAATAGTACTTAGTCACTTAATATTATTAACGCTTGTACCGTATTTCCCGAGATAATAGCCAGGGGCGATTAATTTATTTTTCGCACCTAAAAGCGGTTATTATTCGAGAAGGGGCGATGCAAGTATATTTGAATTTTGGAATTGCAGTCTAGGTATTTGCTGAAAAGGAAGTGACATTCATGTATCATAATTTCACAGCAAGCAAATGTATTCCGTCTTCGCTGAGATATCGAAACATGGAATTCAGTCAGTCGCTAGTGAACTTATTTTCAAAATTGTTGATGCATAGCATATAGAGGCACGTAATGACTGTTCATGGCGGTGCTTAGACACTCCGGCCATGTAGTCACAGGTGAGAGCATCATTTCATCTAAGGCACAAATTCCTCTGACGCTTAATCAAATCCTAAAGCCTTGCATCTCCCACTTGCTTGCGAGCCAAACGGAGGGAGGAAGAGAGGTAAAAAGGAGAACAGAACAAAAACGCTTAGAGAAGCAATAAAAACAAATTTAATTATAGCAGACGTAGGTAAACGGAAGCTGGTCACAATTATGCACAAATTAAGGAATCCAGAACTACTATTATAGAGCGATTCGATTCGCACTTCTATTATAGAGCCAACACTTCTATTATAGAGCAATTCTATTATAGAGCGATTCAATATGTGACAGAATTACAAGATGGTAGCATCACTTGTAGTTTTTTTCGCATCGCTCTTAATGAACTAGCAGGATCTTCTATGTTTTTCTCATTCCACATGCTGCTTTGAGTTTTAGCCCAACTCCACCTTCACCTTGTAAGTCACACAGGCATCCGGAATGGCTATGATTATATAGCTTCCCTTTACCTTATGATATAGTTGAATTTCTTTGTATTGCTTCTCTACGCTTCTTTGTTTTCTTTTCCTCAGTTCATCTCTTTCTTTTCAAACTACAAGGCTTCAGGAGTCCTTCACGATTTGATTTAACACAGGAGAAACTTATGCCTTATATGAAATGATACACTCACTTGCTGAATTATAGCAAAATCTCTCTTGAGAAGTTGGCAGCTGCAGTTTTCCTAAGACTCAGTTCGCTTTGTCATCGCATACAACATTAGAAACCGTAGAGCAATAAACTTATGAACATGAAACAGAGGCTTATCAGTTGATAGGTTTCTGAGAGGAACATATAAGTTTCGCCTTTTTAAATGCTATGCACAGTTCTATGCATATGCAATATAGTGACTATAAGTGAGTGGAATTTGATGTTTACAGTGGGTTTTACTTAACCCGGAAAATAGATAGTAGAATTGTACACGCCACAACTTCGTATTAGTTCCTACTATCCCCTTATAGTTAGTAATTCTTTTGTTTTCTAGTCTTTGTTTTTGTATACCACG